GTATATGGAGCCAGCGTCCTACCCACTGAGGCACTGGCACCGCCCTATATTTGCATTCTTAATAATTATCTGTGAGTATTTTTTCCATTATATACGAGATTAATACAAGTGAAGGTATTGCATTTTAATATAGAATTCCTATTATGTTTAGATATTTGAGTATGTTGTAGTTATTCCCATTAAATATAATTTGTATTTATTATTTTAACCAAGTTTGAGAATAACATTGTACATGATGAATTTTAAGTACTACAGATTTAGTTTTAAATCTCTAAAGGCCGGGCGGTGCCTAAGGCTCAGTGAGTAGGGCACCGGCCCCATATACCTAGGGTGGTAAGTTCAAACCTGGCCCTAGCCAAACTGCAACAAAAAAACAGCCGGATGTTGTTGCGGGCACCTGTAGTCGCAGCTACTCAGGAGGCTGAGGCAAGAGAATCACCTAAGCCCAAGAGCTGGAGGTTACTGTGGGCTGTGATGCCACAGCACTCTACCAAGGGAGACAAAAAGAGACTCTTGTCTCTAAAAAAATAAAGTAAAATAAAATAAATAAAATTTGTAAAGGCTAACAGACATGAATTCACTTGTATAATATGCACTCAAACTTAAATTAGTACTTTTTTTTAAGCCATTGTCCATTTGTACTAACATGCCTGTTTCTAGTTCCAGTTTAGAGATTTTATAAAGTTGTAACAATGAGTTAATAACATGTTCATTTGTTGTGTGTGTCTTAAATCTTGAAAATACATTTGGTATTTGGCACTGAGATTTTATTTTACTAGAAGTTATGGTTAACAGTTCCTTTTATAGATAATAACCTGGGATCCATGGATGATGAGCTTTAGAAAGTCTGTGAACCCCTTAAAATTGTAGAATTTTGAGTATTTGCATTTTTTTTTTGTAGTTGTCATTGCTTTTAGCTGGCACAGGCTGGGTTTGAACCCCCAGCCTCAGTGTATATGGCTGATGCCATAACCACTGTGCTACAGGCACCAAGCCTGCATTTTTATATTTTACTCTTGGATCTATCAGTAATATATGTATTTTTCTACATGGTACAAAATTTAAAGATCTGATTTTATTTTTATTACAAACAGATAGCTATTTGTCTGAATACCATTTATTAAACATTCTTTCTCCCACCAAAAAAAAAGAAAGAAAAGAAAAAGAATAACATCCACACAGCTCTACCATAATATCAAAGCACTTAAGAGGACTAAAGAAAGTTAAGTTTCACTCACGGATTAGGACACTTCCAGTCCCCAGCTCGCTGCTGTCCTCCACCACCACCACCTCCACTGGGAAATCCTCCTCGGCCGCCACCACCACTGCCACCACCTCCATACCCTCCACGGCCCATGGGTCCTAGTGCAAATAAAAGTATGGGGCTGCTTGTCAAGTTCCGTTAATCTAACCTTTTCCGTATAAGCCCTTACCAACCTCTGCACTCTCCTCCATCACCTTTGTTTGTACCCCACTAGACAAGAGATCCTCACCTCCTCGACCTCGGCCTCCCCGACCATTGCCACCACCCCGATTGAAGTCAGCTCGGCGAGTTGCAAATGAGACCTTGATAGGATTCCCAGAGAATTCTTTACCTAAAGAAACAAAGGAGGTATTAAAAAAAATCCTTTTAAGTCCTGTGAATCCAAAAACACATTTCATACAATATAAGACTCTACGTTCCTGAAAAAGTACTAATGAGACATAAGCAAAAGCCAGACTATACTGAATTTACAGCTAAAATAAAGTGTTGAAGACTATAAAAATAACCCTCAAAAAACATGGCCTACTTCCTAAGGCTAGGTGCCTTTTCCTGCACATCCCCCAGTTTCTTCATACATACCATCAAACCAGTCAATAGCTGCCTTAGCAGAAGGTGGGTCATCAAAAGAAACCGTTGCCTCTCCTTTCAGCTTGCCAGTTTCCCTGTCTGTGTACAAATTAATCATGGGCTGTCCTGTTTTCTTGTTTGTCTGAGGAAAGCAAAATGAGTTAAAATCAAATTTAAAGAACATACTACTACATTCCACCTTCTCCCCTAGAACCCGAGTTTATCATTCCCAAACTTCAGCTCCCTTCTTCCTAGTTACTTCTCCGTATTTTGCAGATAGCCTGAATCATAGTCTACAACTGTTTTCCACATCAATACTGAAAAAGTAAAACTAAAGGTTATTATTTGGAGCACAAATATAAGAGTTAAGGGCACTCCTTTACTAACTATACTTTTTGTGTAAAACTGTGATTTATTCAGATAACACCAACAGAAAACCAGGCACAGTGGTTTATACTTTTTTTTTTTTTT